TTTGTTTGTATGTTTGTTTGTTTGCTTGTTTGCTTAAGGTTTCATTCTTTGTGTGTCACGACAAAACAAATAAACAAACTCATAAGAAATTAATATTAATGGTAAAGATCGTTGTGCCGCAATTTGCAAATATATTATTTTTGGAAAAGTCTAAAAAAATATATTATGTTTCAAAAATCAAAAATCATTTTTTATTGGCATTCTTAAATTAATTTGATTATAATCAAAAAAAGTTTTATTTTTTTACTTTAATTAATTATACAATAACAAGCAAGTATTATATAGCTTCTTGTAATTATTGTCAACATGCTTTTGATGAACAACCTCTTTGCATGATTAAACATTTACTTTCTTGTAATAGCACACCAAATGAATTAAAAAATAAAACTAAAAGGAAAGATTTTGATAATATTTATGAAAAAATAAACAAAAAGTCATGGAAGGGTTCATTGATAAATGCTCAATTAAAGAAAAAGAAGAATTAGACAATTTATCTCTAGCAATTTTTGGTAGTGGCCTCCACTTATCAATTGTAGAAAATCAGTATTTTATCAATTTTTGTAAAAAAATTCATCCTGCTTATGAATTACCATTTAGAAAAGCACTCATTATCAAATTGTTAAATGATAAATAACTGAAAATAATAATAATCAAATTGAAAAATCAAAATATGTCTGTATAACAAGTGATGGTTGGATTTCATGGTTACTTTACCAAAACCACTATTTTGGGAAGCATTTGAAAATGAAGAAATTGACAATGACTTGGTTTTCAATTATAATGACTATAATTATGATGGTGAAAATTATGATGATGATAATGATCTTGATGAATTGATTAATTTAGAAGATAGTAATAACAATCAAGAATTATAACATAAGTTTATTATGCAATTAGTATTTTTTATAAATAAATATTCAAATCAAAATTGTTATATTATTACATATTAGTGGAATATACCATGGTATATACAGTCTATGGATCTTTCTATAACGGATTTTTCTCTATAACGGATTAAAAGTTTGGTCCTGGTTTTTTACTATTTGAAATCTCTTTCTATAACGGATATTATTAATTAAACTTTTTATTACGTATAACGGATTGTATCTGAAAATCACTTCATATGACTTACATATAAATCAACACTGCCTATAACGGATTCACGTGATCTGAAATAAAATGCGATCTCCCCAAATCTAAATTATATAAAAAATTACCATTACCCGTAATCGCAAAATAAAAAAATATTTTTATTCCATATGACTTAATGTAGTACAATTTTCTATACCAGATTCTCTCTATAACGGACAAATTTCCTGGTCCCAATGATCCGATATAGACAGTGTGGACTGTACCCTTCAATCATTTACAACATGTTAGATACCATCCTTAATTGCCACTCATCATCACTCTAGTTAAATAAATAAAAATGAAGGTTGGTTCCTCACAAACATATGGTGCATTATTCTAGATGCTTGTTTTATAGATATTGATAAAATGGAATTTATTAGGTGAGCAACATTTTATTTTATTTCCAAAATATTCATTTATCCAAACCTTTATATATAAAATTTGCTTTTCAGAGGCGAAGGTTATTCACATGCATTAAGCAAAAGAAAAAATTCTGGAAGGAATAGTAAAATACTGGCATGTTCTTTGGCAGAAAATGTGATGGAGTTGGTCGTGAGTTGGGATCAACTAATGAAATTACACTGAGTGATGAAGGAAGTGTTGGTTAGGAGAAAACGGAACTAAACCTTTCAGATGGTGTATTAAAGATGCCAAGATCATGAGGGATATGCTTCTTCAAAAAATTAAAATCAAATGCTTAAATTTTATAAAATCTTGACAAATTGAAATTGTAGGATTCTTGTATTCAGGTAAATACCTTTGCAACAATATGGTTTTCTCGATTTTTTTTTTCATATTTATTCTTCCATTATATTAAAAGCACAATATATACAAGTTTTGGTTATGGATATCCCGTCTGGTTACACGTGTTGTTTTCAAAGATCTATTACTAGCAATATCCCTGCTATGCTTGATGAAGTAGACAGGGTTGGCAAATTGACTGGTCCATTGAGAACTATTGGACTTTGGACTGGTCCATTGCCATTAATAAATTACTAAATATGGCTAGAATGTTACACCAATAGACCATCAATGGACCACAACCCTGAAGTAGACAATTTAATTATCATCATTAATGAAGTTTTGACTGCAAAGGTATTTTTCATATAATTATCATCATAATTAATACAACTTGTATTTATTATCTTCCATTTATCCAGCTTTGAATTATTAAAAGTCTGGAAAATTTATGTAGTACCAAATCAATTAGTGATCTGGCATTCATTGATTGTTTAAGGAAAAGAAAAACGAGCAATGATGATAAAGAAAATGATGACTTTTTTGAGTACATAAACCTCTTCCAAAAAACCAAAACCTCAAACAACGAAGTTAAAATTTAAAGGAATGAATATACTTTAATAATGTAAATGTGATGAAGATTTTCCTTCGGAGTTAATTAATTTCCTTCAAAATAATAAAAATGGATATGCATTGTTAAAAATAGGAAAATAAATAAGAATAATAAGAATAAATTTAATATCTACTTGTGAAATTATAAGGGTCCAAAATTTATATATATGTTATAATCTTAGTATTAATGAATTATGGAAAATTAGATATCCCCATGATACAAATTTCGACTTCTATTGTTATTGGTTGATTGTAATTGGTAATATTAATGTTGATGCACAATGCATCAACTAATCAGAGAAAACCATGGACTGCAATGTTTAATTACATCCATCATTCATAAAACTAATGGTTTCCTTTTCAAGTGATCCACATGAAAAAAATGGGTTGTAACAACAGTTTTTTTGATGGACAACATGGAGAAATCATTATTATTGAAATAAAATTGATGTATACAATTGTGATGTTAAACATTTATTATTTTTATTATTTGAATGTGCGCATTTATAAATTTACGTGTAACAAAAAATTTACCCGTGATAAAATCAAAATATGATCTATTACTATAATTGATGAAATTTTACCAATTATGTAAATGTCCGCTACGATAGATTTAGTTTCGGCATTTTACCTGCATGAAAGCCGAAACTATTGCAGAAATTTAGTAGTTAGGCAAACTTCTATATTGTCATGGCAAGATTTTGTGTAGAATGAGGGATGACTGCATTAGGATCTGTATTATAATTGAAGTTCATTGTTATAGTGGTGGTGGTATATGATTTATTGCTACAGAGTAATGGGATGAATAATCAAAATTATAATGATCAAACTCAAACTTGTCAACAACATCATCAACAGGTAATTTTTTTAAAAAAGTAAATAATTAATCAAATAATTAATATAATATGATTGATTGATTGGTTGGTCATATTTATTTATTAGATTATTGTAAATAAAGAGCCTGTATCAATTGTAAAAGCAGCAGCTATTGGTGTAAAAGCAACGGATGTTGATGAGTTTAACTTATTATCACATTAATTTTTTGTTATAATTATAATATTTATGTAATAATTTTGATCACTTTATTTATTTATTAAAAATAGTTTGTGACCCAATGATTCAGGGTTTTGCACATACACTTACAGGACCACCATCATTACAAATAATACTGTATAAACAACACAACTACAACAACCACAACAACAAATATTACCACCACTGTCACAACAACAACCACAACATCTACAAAAAACCTTACCATCACAACCTGGAAAGAAGGTACAACAATCACAACAAACAGAAATTCCAACAATTAATGTTAATATTACTACTACCAATAATACTTAACATCAAAGACAACCATCATCAGAAAATTTATATACAACAAATAAGAAAATCTAAAAAAAAGAGACCATCAAGAGCCATTAAATGAACAAATATCATCCCTCCATTGAACTTCAGCAAAAGAAACCTGTAAAACAAAACCACCAAGGATACAAAAAAACCTATTGAGTCTCAACAGCCATAAAACAAAAAACACCCAAAGTACAAAAACCTCTTGAATTTCAACAGCCACAAAAGCAAAAACCATAAAACAAAAACTACCAAATTACAAGGATCTCAACCAAAGAAACAACCACAACCAAAGAAACAACCACAAAAACAAAAACGACCACCACAACAAAAGAGACCATAACAACTTCCTTTTCCTCAACCACGAATTACAAATAATAATGTTTTACAACCAGCATCAAATAATAATAGATAAGAAAAGTCCAACTGAAAATTCAGAAAAAATCACAGCCCAACCAAAACTCCAGAAACAAAGAGTATAAAGACAAAACATCAGCTGCAACCAAACATACAAATAGACCAGCAAGATCCAAATCAAGATGATGTATCTGCACAAAATTATGGGATAACCAAGATGATAGTAATTCATTAGCAGTAAACTTTAATAATACTGAATGAAGATGTTGAAAATGTTGAATTATTAGCAGAAATGTAGATGATTATGTTGAAGATGATGACAACAATGATGAAGATGTTGAAAATGTTGAATTATTAGCAGAAATGTAGATGATGATGTTGAAGATGATGACAACAATGATGAAGATGAAGATGAAGATGAAATAAACGAAAGATGATGAAGGATGAAGATAAGGATGAAATAGATGAGATAATGATGATGATGTGGATGATGATGCAGATGACAATGTAGATGATGAAGATGATGAATATGACAATGAATATGACAAAGATGATTTGAATGACAATGAATGTGATGAAGATGATGTAGACAACAATGTAGATTATGAAAATAATGATGATGATGAAAACAATGAAAATGGTGATAATTTAGATGATGTAGATGATTGTAGTGGTGGTGGCAATAATTGTGATGATGCCAATAATTATGATGGTTGTGGTGGTTACAATGATGGTAACAATAATTACAGTGGTTATGATGATGGTGACAATAATGGTGATTGTGACAATTTCAATGGTGCTTTTGGTGGTTATTTCAACAATGAATTTGATGGAAATTTTGATGGTGGTAACTTTAATGGAGGCTTTGACATTGTAAATATGTTGGATTAATTAATAGATTGATCATCATTTTATATTTATTATTAATTTAATTTAAAAATCAATGGGTTCTGGAGGTGATGCTTTTGACATAACTTCATTAAATGATTCTCTTCATGTGGTAATGGATATGGAAATTTTGGTGATGGAGGCGGATTTGATTTTGGTGAAGATTTTTAATCTTTTACCCCATCAAACCACACTTTTTATTATCTTGATTTTTCTTTGACAAATAATATTTTATTATTTTTATTTACTTTATTGTAATTTTTATATTGTTAATATAAAAAAAATAAATTTTGACTAGAAATGAATAGTTTGATTTTAAAAAAAAGTGAATATTAAAACAATACTTGGATTTAAACAACTCTTTGAGCCAAACTAACAATCTTCCCCCATTTTTTATCTCTCAATTCAGCACCAATAACACCAAGTATTCTTGTTCCTAATGGTTCACCACGATTATTTATAAGTACACAGGCATTATCATCAAATCTTATATAACGACCATCAGGTCTTCTTGTTTCCTTTCTTGTCCGAACAATAAGAGCTTTACGTACTTCACCCTTACGAATCATCAATTTTCCTGCTGGAGTGTTTGCAGCAGCAGCACTTGCTGCTGTCTGAGAAGTTACCTGTGGAATGGGACGGGCTCTTTTAATCACCACTGTAATTGGATCTCCTGATTTTTATTCTTTTAACCATTAATAATTTTTTTTTTTGATAAATAAATAATTTTTCAAATAAAAATTATAATTCATTTTATAAATATATATACCAACCAATGCGACCATATCTTCCACCATGAGCTACTCTGATACATTCTGCAAGAAGAGCACCTGAATTATCTATTACATTTAACACTGTTTTAAGTTGAATCATGTTTTATTAAAAAAAGTTTTTTTTTGCAAAGTAGATCATAAAATAATTTTTGGTATTTTTGATGATTAAGATTACAAAAAATAGTACTGTACATTGGCGCATCCAAATTACCAAAAAGGTATACATGGTGTAATGTCCAATTGCCAACAGTGGATACTAAAATGTAAACGTGATAATTGCGAATGTCAATCAAAATCAAACTTCTAAAAAAAACTTCTTTTTTATATTTTTATACTTTTATCATCATTATTTTACGATTTATTAATTCATTAATTATTACAAGGATTGAATGGAATTTATCAACTACAACTATTTTGCTGTTCAGATGATGTCAACAGGCAAGAAGCATTGATTGATTTCCCAAATCTTTGTCTGATTAAAGTCAACAAAACGAATGTTGATGCTGTAATTATCATCACATTAGATCTCATGAAATTAAGTAGGAACATATATATCAATTGATTTTTCATTTATTTGTCTTTATTTTTTTATTTATATTTTTAGAACTTAAGAGGTTTAAAGAATAGACCTGGGACAGTTCATTCTCAAGATATAATGGAGCTCTGCAAAAAAGATTCATCATGCAAAAATAAGATCGAATTTTATTATGAAAATACTTCAAAAGTAAAATCATATTTTTATTTGTTAAAAATAAAATTTTATTTCATTATTAACATTTAATTATTGTTATATCATCATTTTTAGGATTATATACTTATGTTATATTTAATGAAAAAGGTAACAATAGAAGAGATTGTTAATAGAATTAAAAACGGAATGTATATCTCAAAAGAAATTGTTTGAGAGAAAAGTAAGAAATTTAACTTTATATTTAAAAAAGTATTTATACATATGACACATTTATAAATTTTTATCTATTGACTTTAATATTTTTACAGTTAAAAAATCATATCAAGATTCTGAGGTTGTTGTGACTTCAAGTGTAGTTTCATTGAAGGACACAGTACATTATAATTAATTAATAAAAAAATTTTTTTGATCCATAGTTTGTTATTAAAATAGCAAGTTTTCATTTTATTAGTTGTCACATAGTAGAATTGATTTACCATGTAGATCAATCCAATGTAATCATCTTCAATGTTTTGATGTTTACTCATACTTTAAGATGAATGAACAGGCAGACTTCTACTTGGACATTCCCAATATGTCATAAAATACTTGATTCATGGGAAGAAATTGTACAAGCACCCATTAATTTTTATCAAGTGAGAGGTTGTTTAATTAAATCCAACAATAATAATTGCAATATTACAAGTAGCAGAAATGACAATAATAATAATAATAATATAAATGTCAATGGCCATGTCAATATGAACAGCATTGGAAATATCAATGGCAATATCAATATGAACAGTAATGAAAATGTGGTCAACATGTTTGATCTAGAGTTGTTCAGGAAACACTTAATTTCAAATACTCCTCCAAAAACTAGTCCAGTATTTTCTAAACTATCGAATCTAAATACAACAGCAACGAAATTGTTAACAACAACAACATCACCGTCACCTAGTATGATGATGACATCAGTCAATACATCTGCTATAACTGTCACCTCCACCACCTCCTCCAGCAATAATTATTATTATAATAATAAAACTACAACAGCAACAGCAACAGCAACAACTGTTACTCCAATTGAATCTTCTGGCATAACCATTTCACATAATAATCAAGAGCCAATCAAGCAATAGCATCAACAACAACAACATGATACAAATTTACCAACATTTGTTCATAATGATCCAACAATTTTCCTCGCCATTTATTTGAAAATGATGAAAATATATACAATTTTGATTCTCGATTTTTTCAATTGAATTAATAATTTTTTTGATATACAGTACATATCATTGCAATTGCAATTGCAGATCAATAAATATTAATATTAATGTGAGTGTGTGCTTATTTAGTATTAGTATTAGGGAGGAAGCTATATAAAAATTTTTATTTGTGAAATACGTGTTTGGTGGGTGACACGAAAAAAAAAAATAAAAAAAAAATATTATTATTTCAATAACAGCAAACTCGCTCACACATAACATAACATAGTTAAAAATTATTTTGATTCCACCTTTAAAAATAATAAAGAAAATAAAAATAATGCCTAAAGAAACTAAAGAAAAACACAGTAAACTAAAACTCGCTATTAACCGAGAAATCACTCCTGGCTTTGTTGATACTAGTCCTAGAGGTCAAGAAATCAATGTTTCAAAGGTGCTATTGGAGCAAATCGAGAAAAAAAAGAAGTCAAAGGCGCTTACGATAGGCTCGAAAGATTTCAATCCAGTCGCTTTCTTGGATAAATTTCATGAAAAAAAAAATGCTGAAGTGGAAGGCTCACAAGCACCAGAATATAAAGTCAAGTATGATCGTGAAAAGAATGTCGTGTTGAGCAGACTTGAATATTTTAATCGTGTGTTTACATGTCAAACTGAAAAAAAGAATAAATTAAAATTGGAAAAAAGAAATGCCAAAAGAAATGTTGCTTTGCAATGTATAGAATATATTAAAAAAAGTCATCTTTTTGATACTCTGATCGCCGTAATTCAAATAGAAGATAATGTGTTTTCCACTGAAATGGAAGAAGTAAAACATTGTTCACAGGCTTTTCTTAACGCATTTCATCAAAAAATCATTATAGGAGATCAGCCTAAATACACTATAGTCACACTACCACAACCTAAGCTCAATAAAGTAGAAGATAAAATGGATGTTGATGAGCCAAATCAACAAATTGAACTTGACGGGCAAGATGATGGACAAAATGAGCAAATTAAAAGAATTGTAAAGAACAAACCAGCAAAGCGCTTTACATGCATACTTAAATATCTCGGAAATAAATTTAAATCTTGTGCATATAATACTGTTGAAGAAGCACGGAGAGAGTCGGCTGATAAATGTGTTGCCTTTCTTACACGTATCAGGCCATATGATGTTCGGCTAATCAAGGAGCTAGAATTCAAACGAAATCCTAACTTGGATAAATTAATTGACTTACATAAAATCAGAGTTGACAACTTCAATATTCATGATAAAGAATGCACAGTACCTCAATCCAAACTTTGGATTAATAGAATAACCGCTGAGAATCCAGACAAACCACCATATGTAATACTTCAAGAATTCTGTCTAAAATTCAAAATAGGACAAGTACATTTCATTCCAAACGAAGTAGGAGAAGGTAGATTCAATTATTCATTAAAAATTGATGGTAGAGAACCCGTTAGAACTTCCATGTGGTTTACCCATGAGACGGATGCTAAAAATTATGTTGCTAAAAAAGAACTAACTGCGCTTTTAAAATTGTACGAAATTAGCGAACAAGAGGAACTTTTAAGAGTCGCTAATGATTATAAATTGAAGATTGGTTTGGTCATTAAAGAATAAAATTTATAAATTTTGATATTGTTTTTTTTTAAAAAATCAAATGACATTTATTCAAAAATTGCTTTGGATAACAATTTTATATATGTTTACCAATAAGTTTTATAGTTTATGACTCTAACCTCAAAACCTGCTTTTATTTTGTGAAATTTATATAAAATCAAAATATGATCAACGAAAATCATTACCAATTACACTAATGTCCGCTATGCTCATGAGCATAGTTTTAAAAAAGAATAGAACTTTACAACAAATAATTTTTTTGAGAAAATCTCTCTATTACATTAAAATTAAAGACTTATTCTATCAACTAATAGAGCTACTTTTTAAAAAGTAGGACAGGAAATGACTTTATACTTTTAAAATTTGCACAAAATTTAGGAGGCCTTTAGACCGAGCCAACTATAGCAAATTTTAAGTACTCGATTTCTAAAGGGATACTCTTGGTAATTCTACACTTTGCTTTTGCTCTGCCAGCTATTGCAGATCGCCCAAAATTTCCTTCAGATAAAGGTTCTTTTATTTGTTTCAATGAATCTATAAGGATATATAAGAAAATCACATCTAAAATTCATTATACCAAATAATTAATTGCGTTTTAGATTTTTAAAATTTCGAAATTAATTTTTTATTGGTCCAAACTGTAATTGGGCAAAGTTAACTTTGAATTTTTATTTAAGTTAAAATAGGTTAATTGCATAGTTATTATATTAATTCAATTGTTGATTTTTTAAATTAAATAATTACTAATGCCAACTAAACAGAATCGTCAAAAGATAACAACAAAACAATGTCTTTCTTATACTATATACTAACACTAAAAATGCTAAAAACACACTTTACGATTAGTTGATAATTGAAAAAAACATTTTACGAGTTATCGTTTGTCATGTTTTTTTGTAACGGTGAAGCATCTTCTTTAAGTTTTTCGTCAATAACATAAAGAAATTAATCGCAAATTATCCTGTTTCTTTTTTAGTAGTGGTCAAAATACACTTTCAAACAAGTCTTGGACAGGGTTTTTTAACAAACGACCAATTTCCGTTTTTTTTCAATTAATGGTAACAGAGTATCATCGCCTTTGCATTTTTTCAAAAAGACAGTCAATTTTTCGTCAACAATAAGAAAATTATTATTGTGAATTATTCCGTTCCCCTTTACACTTTCAAAAAAGTCTTGCCATTTTTTTTTAAAAACGACCAACCAATTCCCGTTTTTTATTATCCACATAACGACTCTTTAATCATTATATGAAAAATATCATGATAATTTTTAGTTTTGTTCAACCAGAGAGGGCAGTTAGGAAAACTCCATTGAATGTCACCGCCAAATTAAACCTAATCATATTAACGCGAATCTCGAAGCACTTTTCGAATAGGTTGATCACTTGATTCAATCAGGTGACTTTTTGAAAAAATAAAAATAAAAATGAGGTTTTGGGAATTGAGTCAAAGCCAAATTAATTTGGCAACATGTGCAATAGACCAATTAGTAGGAGGCTATAATTCATTTGATTTGAATTTAATAATATGTAAAAAAATACAACTGAAAATTTTATTTATAATGTTAGATATTAATTCTACACAGTTTAGTTATGCTGTTGAGAAACATGGTCTGGAAATTTAGTCATTCTAATAATATTAGCTATATTTGGTGGTGGCTGGGATCTTATTTTAGATTATTAGTAGTAATTAGCTTGCCAAAACTCAACAGCAGAGTTACTGATTGTTTCGGCAAAGTTCCGCATTTTGGGGCTTTGGCAATTGGCAGAGTTTTGGCAAGGTACACACTAATTGTTTATTAGAGTTTTGGCAAAGTTTCGGCAGCCTTAGTAGTTATAGTAGTGATTCAAATATTAATATAATAGATTGTAAATATGATGAATTAGAAGTATTTATATAAATAATAATTATTTTATTTACATATACTACGTATTTGATCGCATATTTCTAAAAACCCACATAATAACAAGTTGGGTATAGTAATTACCTGTCCTGATTTGAGAAGAGGTTTTGCAAGCTACTCGATTAAATGTTTAATAGGATTTTTAAATAAATGGATGTGGTCTCAAAGCCTCATTTTAAATTATGATATTTATTTCTGTTTAACCATCTATTTGTCACTTACCACTGATCTTTCTCTAATGATATTATTTATCCTTCAATAACAAATTATTACATTTAATGATTGAGAATTAATAACTTCCAAAAAATGGAAGATTTGTTATAAATATAATTAATAAAATCTACCTTATCTATAAAAAAAATTTAACCAAATTAGAAGAAAATACATTATCACAGATTTTAGTATTTTAATCTCCTTCCAAATAATCTTTACCTCACTATTAATAATGTCTACATACGCTTGTTGATTATTATTAAAATTCCCAATTGGCCAAACTACATTACCTAAATAATTTTCATCGCCCTCTTCTCCAATAAACATAATCTTTTAACATGAGAATATGAAAATCATCTTTAAGCACACCCTTATTACATGGAACGGTTAAAAATTTTTTTTCCTAAAATCAAAAATTTTTTAAGCATTTTTCAAATTCTGACAAGTAATAATAATAATGAATATCCACAATGCTCGAATGTATTTGTTTTTAATGTTGTACTAGGCGATTTTTTGTTTTACAGGTCTCTGTTGTTGTTGTTTTTTGTTGTTGTTTTTCATGTTCATTTAAAATGCTTAAAATGTTTAGTATATATTTTCTTAAATTAAAAATATACATATAAATCTATAAATCTATATAGGGACTCTAATTCACAATAATAACAAAGTTTTGTTGTTATATTATCTTTTAAAAAAAAGGTCAGTGTAACAAATTGAGTATTTTGAGGAGATGACCGTAAAATCAAGCACCTAAGGTGAGTGAGTTTTTCTGCTTAGGAAAATAATTCACAAAACCTATAATCAAAATGTATTAGTGACCTATTACTAATTACTGTTAATATGAAATAGTGTGTACGTCCACATGTCAATCGATTTTTTCGGTCCTTCTGAAGGGTTTCTTGAGCTTAGCCTTATCCATTTGTGATATGACTGTCCGGGTCCCAATTACTCTACACGTTACACATTTAGATTTATATCAGATGATCATTATCCCATCCAGCTATAATCTAAACCTATCCTCATTTACATGTTTAATGTGATCATGCCCAGTAGCCCAGGGACTATTACTGATCTCTAGAAATAAATATTCATGATTAAAGAAATACCCATAGTTTTCCTCATAAGCATAAAAATCTGGATACCTAGTTATATTTTGGGTGGCATTTCTGAATTTAATAGACTGTGCTGGACATCCATCCCTTTAAATAATAATACATATGTATTAACATATGTAATATCTATTAGAGGCCTGCACGGGTCATCATAATTGAATAAATACCCAACCCGAACCCGTACAAATTTATAATTGGCAACCCGAACCCGACTTGTACACAAAAAAATTATAAAAATCTCAACTCGAACCCGACTTGTACACAAAAAATTATAAAATCTCAACCCGAACCCGACTTGTATACAAAAAATTTCAATCCAAACCCGAACTCAACCCGTTTTTTATTAAATGATGTTGTAACACGATTTTATTTATATTTTTTATAATTTAAATAAATAAAGTAATACATACCTGTGAGCTATACATGATAAATGCCTATAATTTCGAAAAGCTGCCACAAAGTTTGCACCAGAATCTGTTACAAAAGTAAATTACTTTCAGGTTGAAGATTATACCCTCTTAATAATGAAAAAATAGTTCTTTGTATAATATCTGATGTATGGCTAATTTCTGGAAATTTAGATACAGCAAGTACATATTCTTTTAAATCCCAATTATCAATAAAGTGCACTGTCAAAGAAACATAACTAATCTTCCTATAATTATCTGTCCAACAATCTGTGGTAAAAGCTCCACCAGAAATTCGAAAAAATTCCAATAAACTTTCTGCCAAAGCTGATTTAACTAACTCTGCCTCCTTTAATGTGTTTCTGGAAATTGTGGTTGGATGTGGAAGTAATTCTTCAATGGATACATTTCCATAAATTGATCCAATCTTAATAAATTCTTGTGCCAATTCTTGAAACCCTAAACCCACAATTGTTTCAAATGGACATAAATCTTTACAAACAAAATTAACTATTTTTTTTGTTGGATCTTCTTTGACTTTTGTAGGAATTATTTTCTTTGTTAAAAAAGATGTGATATTTCTTTGATTACTTGTTGAGCTACTACAAACATGACATATTAAATTAGAAGTCCCTTCTTTTGAATTATATTTATATAAATGCTGACAATTCTTACAAATAACATAACCACAAGACTTATCCTCTTTATCAAAAACTTCAGCAAATCTTAACCAAACATCACTTTTTCTGCCAATTTTATCTTTACATAATAATTCTCCAGCCAGTATTTTTGATGATATTTGGCTTGTGGATAATGTATTTGACATTGATTTGAAAAAGTGTGAAATGTATATTTAATTTGAAAATATAATATATATATTTAAATTATTTGAAAATATAAAAACTTATTATCATAAATTTATTATCATTAAAAAAAACTTATTATCATTAAAAATTTATATTAAAAATTTATCATAAAAAAAAATTATATTTATTAATATATATATATTAAAGAATTTTTTTTTTTGCCAAGAAATTATTTAAATTCGGGTCAAGTTCGGGTCATTAATTGTTGTAAGTTACAAACCGAACCCAACCCGCAGTTATTTGACATCAAGACCAAACCCGCCCAACCCGAACCCGACTTTCGGGTTCGGGTCGGGTTAAAACACGGGACCCAATCCGATGCAGGCCTCTAATATCTATGATACATCATTATGATTAATATTATGATTAATAAACTCATGAGTTACCATTTAGATTCTGCAACTATATCATAGAATATGAAATCAATTATTTTATCCACAATATTATGCCCAAATGTCTTTTCATTTACATATTTATCAAATCGTTGATAACATTTTAAT